GACTGACCATGTATTCCTCTTCGCCGTGTACAGTGACAATTTTCTATTTGTCCGAGTATTTCATCATCTGATGTAGAGTGGATGTAATAGCTCCAACCCCATGTATCCAATGGAGAACCAGCAAACAAGAATAAGATGGCCTGATATCCATCACATAGAAGGTAGAGCCGAAAGTCTGAGAACCAACCTTGATGGGGATGTCCACCTCCCCGTGCACCATTCTCTTTGAACTGTCAAAAGCCCTCACTACAATATTGCTGGGCTTCAAAGTCAAACCTTCACAGTCTAGTCTATCCAGGGCATTCTTAGGCAGCACATTTAACGACGAACCAATATCTACAAGGACATGGACCAAAGTAGTGCCCTTGCATTCGATAGAGACATGTAACACATCATTGTGCTTCCTCCCTCTAGGAGTTAAATCAGCATTAGAAAAAGCCAAACCGTTATCAGCCGTCAAACTAGCCACACAATCTTTGAATTGGTCAGCATAGGTTTCCTGGGGCACATGGGCAGTTTTCAGAAATTTCACCAAAGCCTTCGCATGAGTTTTGGAGCACAATAGTAAGGCTAGCATAGAGATCTTTGAAGGGGTCTGCCCCAGCTATTCGACCACATTGTAGTCGCTTTTCTTGATAATTTTCAAAATTTCTTCCATTTCTTGTTTGGAAGCCTCTGGGATAGACACCGAATGCGGCTTCGTCTGGACAGGCTCAACCAATATGTCTTTTCCCCAAGTCTCGGTCGAATCAGTAATAGGGGTGTCAGCAGGGGTAATCACAGGGATTATATTAGTAGTATCAACAGGAATGAAAGTAGGAATAATCACAGGACCAGTAACAACTTTCGGAGGAGAAATCTCAGGGGAGAACACTCTTCCAGTTCTGGTTATTTTGCTGGTTCCCACAATGTTGACAATGTCGGGATCCGCATTCTCAGAAACCTGGTCTTCAGCAGCCAGCTAATCTTACTTGACACCGTGGTAGTAGACGTCACCTCTATAGTTCCACTGAACGGTTTTATCTGAGGAGTACGGGATTGGCCATGGCCCAGTAATTGTCAGCGGAGTAACCTTCAGAGTAGATGTAATCCTGATGGGTCTTTTGGTGGAGACCCTGGGAGGATTGGCGCAAATGGTTATTATTGAAACATCTCTACAAGCAATAGCGGGGACGAGATTCTTCTCAATCAAAATCTCTCTATCATCCATCAGGTGTTGAACACCTGTCTTCAACAAATAACAACCATTCAGTAGAGATAAACAGAAGTGGCAACCTTCACCACATCCCGGAAATAAACTGGCCTTCAATAAGTTCCACTTAACAGTCAAGGGAGGAGTAACAAGCTCTTCAACAGTAGTAACAAACATATCATCTTCAATAGCGTTAACACCACGGTCGTGCTTGGGCATATGAGCAGTGATAACATTTGGAATTTCAGGGGCGTCAAACTCAATTTCCTTCGCCTGATAAGGTCTTGTACCCTGTTTTTCAAAGCCCAGCAGTCGTTTGTGTCATGACCTGGACTTTTCGAATGATAAGCACAACGGGCATTTGGATTGTGGCGGGGAGAGGTAGTGTTGGGATTCTTTGGCGCTTCCCGCAAGGTTACCAGATTAGATTTAAACAAATGAGGCAAAACTTGGGATAAAGTCATATTTATCCGGGTGAACTGTCTTACTTGCCTTTCTGTTCTCTGCTGATTATTCCTCTATTGAGTGAGTGCATGCTTAGGGATCATGACAGCCCCTACCATTGGACGGTGTTCAGTTCTATCCTGATTCTTTTGATTGTACACAACACTAATCTCTTTCTTCCCAGTGAATGGCTTCCTTATGGCACTAGAGGATGCTTCCTTTTGGATCTTACCACTTTTAATTCCAGCTTCCACTCTTTCCCCTGTCAAGATTAATTCAGTGAAGCCGACTGAAGAGCTTTCAATCAGGTGATTAAAGAATGGACCAGACAGGGTACCCAGAAACATATCCACTAGCTCCCTATCACACAGGGGAAGCTAGACTCTTCCTGCTAAATCCCTCCACTTCCTAGCATAGTCTTTGAAGCCATCGCTCAAACCCATAGCCATACTTTAGAGTTGAGCACGGGCAGGAGCAAGGTCCGCATTATACTGATACTTCTTATAGAAAGCAGCAGCCAGGTCTTCCCAATTATGAATGTTGGCCCTCTCCAGCTGATAGAACCAATCTAGCTGCGTTCCAGATAGACTATCCTGAAACAAGTGGACCCATAAATCTCTGTTAGCAGTGAGAGGCTGTATCTTCCTCACATAAGATCGGAGGTGCATCTTGGGACATGAAACCCCATCATACTTAGTGTTGTACCCAAAAATTTTCCCTCCCATATTCCTCAAAACATTTCAAGAATGACCTCCAAATTGCTCAAGGTAGTCCAAGGGTTGGCCAGACAAGCTCTCTCCTAAGGCAGTCAATCCCAAATTAGGGTTTCATGTGGCATCAAGATCCTTGAGTCCAAGTGACCCCAAGTGCTCAACATTGTCCTAATATGTTCTCAATATCACCCATGTCAAGTTTCAAGCCTTGCAGAGGAAGTTTGCTCAGTCAATTGCTCAAAGGTCCAAAAATCGACTGTGGTAGGGCAAAAGTCAATTGTGGCCTACATACAGTCAAACTTCAAGATTTTTTGTCAACATTCTCAGTTTGAAGTATATTTCATCATTTGATCAATGGTTGATCATGATTCATCAAGGATTTCTCACAATTCATCAAGATTCAAAAGTTGCTAAATTAGGGTTTTGTAGGAAAAGTCATCTCAACTTTGACCAAGCATAACTTTCTCATACTTTGTGAGAAATGACCCATCCAAATCTCATTTTGAATAGTATGCAATTCCCTACAATCTATCTTCATATCCCAAGATCAAAATATGCACTCACAAGAAGTTATGAATTTGGACATTATAGGTCATTTTGAAAAGTCAACAAAAACACCTTTTTTGTCAAAGCTTCATACATGAGCATGGAATATCAAATTGAGATTAGACCATAAGGGTTGATTAGAGGACATCTCAAGATTTCTAAAAAGTCAAAGAACAACTCCAAAGAGTCAAAATTGAGGAAGTTATGCATTGTTGAAGTTGGACTTTTTTGCCAAATTGCCAAAAGTCAACTATCCCCAAAACATCAAATTTTGCCAAATGGGGGCCCATTTTGTTTCACTTGTTTTGGGTTGGCATTGTAGCCCACGTGCTCTAGCCTTGGCCGTGTATCCATATCATATTTTTATTAATTATTTTGATTTTTATTTGAATTAATTTGATTTAAATCAAATAAAATCAAATAAAATCCAAAGCATTGATAACAATGGATCTTTTGATTGTTTTAGGCTTTAATCACAACTAGCAAGGGATTGAAACTCGAATCAAGGCAGGTTGTGTATAAAAAGATTGAGAAAAGATCAAAATTGGAAGTTTGTTAAAGAGAATCAAATCCTTATCAAGAGCATTGAAAGAGAGAGATTTGGACAGGGTATTCAAACCCAATACATTGCACATTACATAAGGGTCGTGTGCAGACCAAAATAAGGGTTGGAGATCAATTGGAGAGCAAGAACAAAATTTGCAAAAACACCAAAAAAGTGTGAGATCGAAATCAAGTCTAGAGGCAGTTTCAAGGCTTGGTGTTGGTCTCAATCTCTTCCTGGCCATCTCCACAAGAGAAAGCAAGCAAAACCAGGCATTTTCAGACCCTCACACGCGCTGTAAGTCCCTCACAAATCCGCCCTGTTCTTGATTTTGTATTTTGCAATATAAGCATGGTTGATCTGAATTAATGGCATAATCTTAATCTACACATCATTTGCAAGCTTTTTGTATTACTTGATTGCATTTATATGACCTGTAAAGAGATCCACCAATGCTAGGGTTTCGTTTTTGTTTTTGGGGTTTTTCGTTTCAGGAACAATTAGCCCTAATAATGGGCATGGTTGTGATCAGCAGAAGATGACGAATCTAACCATGGTCTTAGAAGGCATTTCCATGGCCTGTAGAAGATTTTGGAATGAGACAGACTTGTAGCGACAGACCTTTGTCTGTGGGTATAGCTTCTTTGTTTTTAGCCACGGTTCAAAGGACAGGGATGATGCGTTGGCACCTCCCCATTTGTCCATTCAAATAGCGCGCGTTTTTTTCTTTTTTCTGACCAATCACTACAAGAAAATTGGCAGATTGCGACAGGTATTTTTGTAGATTACGACGGTTAAAACCGTCGCAATTTGCTTTCCACGACGGTTGCTTTACCGTCGCAGAAGTGTGTGTCCCCAACCTATTTCGCGACGGTTACAAAAACTGTCGTTCAAGTTTACGACGGGTTGATACCGTCGTGACTATCTTTTGAGTTTCTTTTAATTATTGATGGCGACGGTTCGATACTGTCGTGAATATCTTTTGAAATTGATTAAATTGTTTTTGGCGACGGTTCGATACCGTCATGACTTTTGTTGATTACGACGGTTCGGTACTGTCGCCATGACTTTTGTTTATGTCTTGATTTTTTTTTATTTTTCTATTATATATATTTTTTATTTAAATTATTATCTATGTAAAAAATTTTAAATATAGTTTTTTTTTGTGTTATTTTTTTCTTTAAATTATTTCTTCTTTAATATATTTATTTATAGTATTATTTTTTGTTTTATTTTCTATCACTTTGTAATATAGTAAAAATAATTTCAATAAAAAATATTTAACATCAAATAAGCATTATAATATCCAAAAAAATGTGTGTTCCATAATCATGTAAAATGCGAGTTCCATAATCATGTCAAGTAGTACAAAAAACCCAAAATATATCAATTCCTAATCTTATAATAATAAGTATCATTATGCCAAAAATACATGAGAAAGTTCACAATCTAATTATCTCGATCATAGCAAAGTCTAATTTGTCCCCCCTGAAGTTCCATTATCTCCAATACGGTAGCTAGACTCAACAGCAGACAACATCATCATTCCAAACGAAGCTCATTAAAAAAGGAGAAATGATATTTGTGATGGTTTTCCACAGTTCTTGAGACATTTCGATGAAGAATAGGATCCTCTATAATTGCATGAGTCAGTACAGCCAGAAGTTGGAGCGACGTATGTTGGCCAGTATCGTCCAATGCTCTGTCCATTCACCCAGGCTTCTCCTTTTCCCAGCCCCGTGAAATCAATTGCAACTGGGTTACTTCCAGAAGGAGCAATGAAGTTCGTCTAATATAACACATTGAGATTAGTCAGCTGAAGAAAAACATGAGAATTTTAACAAATGCTCTATTCTTATTAAGATTACCTTGTACCAAGTCAAAGGTTGATTTGTAGGTAAGTTAGATTGTGAATTCCACTGTCCAACACTTCCACTAGACAAACCTAAATCTTCACCTTGAAGACCAATCTGCATTCACAAAAATACAGACATGTAATCTATGACTTAATTAAAGAAACTCAGAAGGAGAAACAAAAACAGGCCTTAAGTTAAGCCAAGACTAACCTGGTATGTCCATTGCTGTGAGGAGAGATCAACAGTACTTCCATTTCTCAAACCTTTCAATGTTACTGGACCAGTGATCCCCGCACCCACTAGGTCGTAAAAAGCTCCATAGTTCTGTGGCACATAAAATTCACATTAGCTGAGAAATGAACACGTAGATGCATATTTTGTACTTTATAATCAGAAAATACGAACCTGTAGTCCCACTGTTAAACTCAGGAGATCAATTTTGTTCTTTCCAGATACAAGTGTAATAGGGATGTCCACCTTGACCTTAGCGTTTCCGCTGTTTCCTACTCCACTCCCTGAAAAAGTTCTCGGTATTAACGTATCGAAATTTCATTACATGATTCGTGAAACACGTCATTGAAGTAAAGAAAGATACCTGCAAGTTTCCCATTTATAAAAGCATGAAGGGCGTGACCAAGGGATTCAATGTGAAGAACAGGTTGAGCACCGGCAGTATCTTCAACATCAATGCTTCAAAACAATTTGAAAAAGGTTAACATGGGCACGGAAAAACAATCGTCAAGATAAAGCTATTTCAACCTTGAAATTCCTTATACCTTAATGAATACCACAGGTAGTCACTTCTATCTGCAGTCGTGTTTATTTGTTCAAGAAGTCCAGATTTTGTGAATGCATCATCCTTTGAAATACCGACCGGTTCACTAATCCAACTCCATCCTGAACTTGAACTCCCCAAAGAATCAACCTCTTCTTTTACAGATTCAGTTGCGAAGCTTGAAATCGTAGATGCAGAATTAATCTGTCGTACGAAAAAATAACTTTAGTTTATGCTACTTTGGAAAGAATAAATAGAAGAAAAGATATCACCAATAGATTGATTAATCACAAGAAGTTTAATAATTAGTTTAGTAAATTGAACTATATAGTGTGACTGGAAGTTGATGAGGCAAACCTTTGCAGTATTTAGAACAACACTCTTGCAATCTGGTAAAATGCTCACAGACCATCCAGGCAAGTGATATGAATTGCCGTTGAAGGTAACCGTTGCATCGTTCGTGCCGGTGTTAGCAAGGAAGGCCACACATGCAGATCCTGTCTTGTAAACTGAAGTCTGAGATTGAAAAGTAAATATTAAGAGATATAACGAAACCATTCATGTCAGTGATTAACTTAAAACTTAAACCAGCAAACTATGATGAAAGCTTCGAAGTGCCTATTATTTATTACCTCTAGATTTGGACCAGGAGATGAAATTGTTGGATCAGTAGCTATAAGTGCTTCTTCACAAAGTTTTATGGCCTTATGCAAATCTTTAAGATGCCCCCATTTGGGTTGTCTAATAATTCCTGCATCAGGCAATAACACGTTTTTCATTTTTGGAAACCTGTCTAATGAGTTGCTTGCATACTGGACTTATAGTATAGGATGAGAAGGAATTTCAAGTAGTAGAGTAAAGTTATGTAGTTAGTGGAATCAAGAATCCCATACTGCTAGTTACCAAGAGAACAATCAAAATGTGGTTACATTAAATCACTAATTACTGAATTAGTTGGCACGAACAGAAGAAGTCACAAACACTCGAAACATAAACCCAAGTCAACAAGTTAAACTAAATAGAAAACAACCAAAAAGAAATAAAAGCACATATCACCAAAACTCCATTTAATCACACACTTGAACCCACAATACCTTCACATATCTATTAACTGTCATTACTATGAATTTTGCCTAACTCGACCTTACAAAATTGGCTTGTAAGGTGGGATCCTCGTCTACAGATTCAAGTGTAATCTCAACTAGAAACATAGGTTCCAAGTGTATAGTGCTAACTTCTGGAGACATAGGTCATTTGCTCTATGATTAGAGTGTATGCTAGGGAAGATTTGTTTGTATAGTGTTTAACTGGTTAGATTTGTGTGTCAGTAAGCATAGGGGTGGGCAATGTAATAGTACGATTGATTAAAGATTAGCATGCTATTCTTCAATGACCACGGGCTAAAAGCAGACTGTGCCTTGTAAATGGCGTGGCCTCCCACCTTAAGAGCTAGCGGCTCATCATTCCAAATCTTACCACAGCACACAGAAGTAGATACTAAGCATAAGAGGTAAGGTGGTAAATCTACTCTATTTGCTTTCAGGAAATGCAGAGCCCTGTGCTTGACATGGCTTTCCTAACAAGTTAACATGTCTTCATGTCAAGGCACAGTTTTAAGATAGATCTCCAAAGCACAACGATATTTGATAAATCATATCTAAAATCTGCTAAAATTGATGTCTAATGAAATAGTCCCATGTTTAGTTTCTACGTTTGGCGATTGCAATGATATAATGAAATAAGATGCATCAAAAAATGCAGAACAGCGCATTACAAACAAATCTTTATGAGGTAAGGAGGTAACATTATAAATGAACATTATAAATGAACCGTGCAAGTCCTCTTTATTCGAAGAAGAATCAAATTCATGAATTTGCAACTGAATTTTCCTCACAACCTACGATAAGTTTCGTCAAATAACCGAATAAATGAACAATTAAGCAACTATAGAAGATTAAACAACATTTTAAGATGAGAACCTGAAAAGAAGCGATTAGAATTTCCTTCTCGTTCCCTTTTCTCTTTGAAAAGAACGTGTTTGGTTCCTGAGGTACATGTAAAGCAGGTTTGGTTTAACGGATCAGTTAAGAAAGGAAATACTATAGTTGACTGTGAGAATAGCGAACAAAATGTGTAGGGGCTGAGAGACTCGTTGACACAGCGATAGTGGAAATTAGAATAAGTAATGCGAAAGAAAAGAAAAACATTATACTGGGTGGAAATTACTTCCAATATCACTGGGATCTTGGAAATCAAGTCTTCAGAGGTTGTTGTCCCCGCTACTGGATATGGCTCCTTTTCCCATACCTTTATGTAGAAGATAAAGATAATGTCAATAATATATTACAAACTAAATATGGCAGGAATATTATTGAATACTTGAGTTCAGACTGAGAAAACTACTTAATGGCATATCAATCTGCTCTCCAAGAATTAGTTGCTGCTCCTCAAAATAGAAGCATTGTATTTTATTAAAGTAAACCCTGGCCTGTACAAGAAAACTCTCAAATTGTCATGGTAGAAAATGATACTGATTCAAAATTGGATAAAGAAGACAAATGAACACAAAATATAATGATATGCAACTTTAGGTACTTGAACATTTCCATGTGGATCTCTTTCAAGAAGCAAATGTCTTGAATTGCTTGAGGTAAATAATCTAAAAGCTCCAATGACTGATCAATGAGTTTGTTTTTCCACAAACCAGCCTTATCTACAGTATCATTAGTCATAATTTCACTGACTTCTGCAATCAGATGCTGAACCTGCAAATAGAATAATAATATGTAAATAGAATAATAGCATGTACATAAACCCGAAATCGACGTCGAGTTACTCCAAACGTAGAGCCTGATGCAAATAAATGAAATATAAGATGATGTAATATACATTAAAAGATATTGTAAGCACAAGAAAGATTCATATGGTCATTGAACTATTATAATAAAACGAAACCCAACTGCTAATAATAGGAGCCAATAGCAGCAGTACCAATCCAACAACAAGACTAATGAGACGTCATTGCGAAAATCTGTATAATTTGTTTTAGAACAAATAAATTAACATTGGAAGTTTAAAAACTCACAGCAATAGAAAACAATAGAATAATATTCTGCATATTCTGATATGAAAGAAACAAACATTCTTTAAGGGCAACTGTAACTGAATCCAATATTTCTCGATCAATCTTGATATCAAGTAGGGCAGCAGAAGTTTTTGTTTTGAAATGCATCTTTACATTTTGATAAAGAAAAGAGGTGTAGTTGATAGTTTGAAAACATAAGACGTGTCATGTTGAAAACATAAGACGTGGCGTGTTGTGGAGCAATTAGGGAAATTTTGGCAGAATTATGGAGCAAGGAGTCCAACATACCACATGCTATGTTGCACATGCCATCAACCAATGAACTGACCTGCATCATAAATTATTTATAACAGTCAGGCATCATGTTTCAAAGCAATTGACATGACAAGTTGCAGTGTAAATATTGTGAATCAAATAGAGATTATGAAGAATCACTTATCTTTTAATATTCACGACGGCACAGTGATTCAGAAGAAGGTGCAATGCATAAGTGGTAATGTAACTGGGGAAGATGAAAAAAATGCACAAGCAGGATTGTTGTCCGAGTTCAATGAGGCTCAAGCATTTCAGGGAAGTCATTTGCGAACCAATTTCTCCCATGGAGTCGCCATTTCTACCAAGGTAATCCAAGTAATATTGGTTGTTAGATGCTTAATACAACCATGCAGCAGGACATAGAAATTCATCATGTGCATTCAATTATAATTCGAATATTCATTTCAAATTTCAAATGTATAGTTTTTTTTATATTGATCCAGAATTGCATTGAACCAAAAAATCTTACATTATAGCCACTGATAGATATGTAGTACTTTTGTGCAACTATGATGTTGCTGTCATGTTTTCCTCTATATTTATCTGTAAAATCAAACTACTGCATTTCATCAAAACCAAATACAAATCAATTTAGTGATTCCATATGGAAATATAATAGTCCATTATCCACTATAAGTTACCATCATCAGATAGAAGATTTCTCCTAACTTATAACTATTTTTATCAAAAAGAGTGTAATTACTGATATTGGTACTTAGGGTATTAGATGTGCTCATTTATTAGGTGTCAACTAAAATACCTATAAACTGACAAAACCAGAGTCAGATCTAGAACAACAGTAAAATAGAATTTCAGAACCATCTTAGAAATTTTGTTCTTAATAACTCAACCTAGATTCTGAAATTGAATAGTAGAAGAAGTGATAAGATGAAAGAAAAGATGGAAAGTGATGCACTAATGAACATATGTATATGGGTAGAATAAGCATACCTCTTTGTTATGTCAAAGGATGTCATTCATTAGAGGAGTTTCACCAGCTCTATCAACATCATTTACATCCGCTCCTTCTTCAATTAAATATTCACATAACTAAGAATTTCTGGTGCTAGATGGCCAATGCAACAGAGTTCCACCAACCTGGGTATAAACTTAAATTTTTTGGAGTTACACCACTAACTCTTCTACCAACATACACTTGAAATAAGTGTAATGGCCTGATTCACTGCAACATAGGATAAGAACATCTAAAACGCGAAGAAGGAGATACCAGCGTTGTCGTTGAAGACGAAAAGAGAAAGAGCAATTAGGATTTAAACATCTAAAACCCTAATTGCTAATCACCGTAGCTTCGCCGCCGCTATTCCATTCGAACTCGCCAGAATCTACAAAGCAAGAGAGAAAGAAGATCAGAACAAATCGGACAGAAAGTCATAAAGCAACCGCGAAAGGGGTAAGATCTTTAGCTTTTTGTTTGTTTTTGGTGGTTGGGTTTTGATTGAGGGAGAACTGGGTACACCTTCGTCGCGAAGAGGATATGACGCTAGGGTTTGAAGGTTGGGGGGTGAGAGGCTGCGCGGGAGAGAGATGAAGGGTTCACTGTAAAAATAAAATTGTAACAAGAATAATGAAATGAATAAGAGATTTTTAAGAGCTTTTTAACTTTTTTATGGCGACGGGTGTTTTACCGTCGTGCCCATGAGAATTTTTAAAGGTTTTGGGTGCGACGGTTGTTTTACCGTCGTGAAATGAATTTTAGGACGGATAATTTTACCGTCGTGAAAGGTTTAAGGGTGCGACGGGTACTTTACCGTCGTGATATGCCTTTTAGGACGGTTAATTTTACCGTCGTGACTAGTTGTTGGTGAAAAATCAATGTTAAAAGTGTTAAATGGGGGCCGACGGTTGTTTTACCGTCGTAATAATAATATTATGATGGTTAAATATACCGTCGTAAAATAAATATTAGGGACGGTTGGTGTCAACTGTCGTAAACACTGTCGCTATATGTCAATTACGACAGTTATCACATAACTGTCGCAATTTTTGTGTCGTTAAACACTAATTTTCTTGTAGTGAATAGCTTTTGTTTTACATATTATTATTGCATTATATTATACTAACAAATGAAGCAACTTGGCCTAGTGGTAGCCACATCAGAGTTCAAGGATCCAAAGGCTGGAGGTCAGGGGTTCGATCCCTGCCTCCAGCAACTTGCCATTTTCTTATTTATTTTTAAGGAATCCAGTGCGCATGCTAGCTTGATGACCATCATACTCCCTCACCAATCAACATGCCAGATGGCCAGATCTGGTGGCCAATATTGCAAGCATACCATGGACTAGGTCAACGCCAAGGCACTGAATCAGAAAAGTCAATTGGACCAGCATTATTGGGCCAACGAAATTGCTATCTACACCCTCTAATCAGGCCCATTCTTTATTTCTTTTTATATTTTATTTATTTTAATTTAATTATTTAATTTTGTTTAATTAATTACTAACCAATAGCATAATTTCTTTTTATAAAAAAATCACCAAAATATTTTTTTACCCAATTAAATTTCAGAACTTTATTTTTTATTAATAAATATTAACTAATTTAATTAGGATATTAATTAGGCAACTTTAATTTATTTTGAAAATATTTAAAATTAATTAGAAATCATTAGGTTTTAACACAATTTAATTATTTTATTTTCTTCCTTAAAATAACAAAAACTCCAAAAATATGTCATTAAATATTTTTTCATTAATTAATTTAGTTAATAATTAATTTAGTTTTTAATTTTAGGATTAATTTCTTTTCTTAAAAATAAATAAAAGCAACAAAAAAACATTTTCTTTAATTAAAAGGGTCAAAACCCTAATTCCGCATTCGATCCAATTCACTCGCACGATTTATTTTTCCTTATTCAATTATATAGGTATCTGCTTCCGGTTTGTAATAATTAATTAGGACATTTACTTTTTACCGCTTTATTTTATTTTCAAAGGGTTGTTTTTGGCGATGTAAATACCCGACGCCTTGTAATAATTTAGTTTAATTTCCGAACCTTTAATTTCTGCAATATATACAACTGCTAGATGTTTGATAATAGGGTTTGCATGACAAGAATGAATGCTTAATCTTAAAATCAAATTAGATCACCCTAAACATGTGCAAAGATAAAAATAACTGAAACCAACACACTCGCACATGCGCACTCCTAGGGTACACCCCACTTGGTTGCCTTCGTACATGGTCATTGAGTATAGGTTGTTTTAGAGGTCACCCTCTTGTATAAAAGATCATAGTTGCCTCAAAATGGTTGCCTCGAATATCGTTGCCTCAAATAAATGATCTAAGACATTAGGGTTACCGCTAAGACGTCCTAACATTTCTTTAGTGACCGTATGTCCCTCTTTCGAATTGACCCTCAAACTCCAACGACGGTGCTACCTACTCACTAATAGTGGGATATCATTGTCTAAAGGAAATTAGCACCGAACGATTCCTTTTTCTAGTAGGTAGATTAGTTCTTAGATACTTGCTCATCCAAAACAAATTTTTTTTCACACTTACACTTTTACAAATAAGTTTTCAAAAGCACTTCATTACACTCTTGAAGACAGAAGCAAGAGTTAAATCGAAGTTAAAACAAAAACTTTTCAAAACCCACAAGCACAAAGAAAACAATTTTGAAAATGATGAGCAAGTACCTAAGAGCCCGTAGATAACTACGGATAGAAAGGGTGCTAATACCTTCCCTTTCTATAATCTACCCCCGTACTCAGAAATATCTCAAAAAAGGAATTTTTCCGTGCTTTTTTCCTTTCCTTGTTGGATAAAATAAAAGTCGATGGCGACTCTTGCTTACCGCGACATTTTGCAAAAACAAACGCAAAACGCAAACTAGCATTCCAAAACAGTCAGTTCTTCCCACCGTATCACAGAACTGGCGACTCTGCTAGGGAGCTAATAAGTGGGGTGTACCTTAGGAATAGTTCACCATAATGTTTTCAATTGCTTGATTTGTATGCTTTATCTTTGTGGGTTTGAATCGGAGTTACTATAGATCCTAACCCAGATCTGTGGATACCTTTTAGGTAAGTAGCAATAGACTGTGAGGGAACTGTATGGCATAGACCGATACGGTTGAAGCAGTAGCTATGTTGGTGTGGCACTTTAGTTTGTACCGATATCCCTTGTGGTGGAACAAGGAGAATATGGGTCTTCTAAGGGGTCATTAAGCACCAACTGACCTTAGAACCTATAATTGACCAACTTGGCCATAGAAAAGTAGCAGTATGCTACACTCATTGAGACCAAACTCTCGCGATGATTCTGGCTGCAAGAAAAGGTTGCTAAACTGGAATTATGACCGTTCGAGGGTGGTCAGTGATATTGAGATCCTCTAGAACCCGGTTACTATTTCTAGGACAGGTTGAACCAACTGAACTGAAAGGGGGTAATGCCTAAACTCCATGCCAGCCTGAAATCTAAGGGCTACTGTGTGACTTGTTTTCCCTTACCATGTTTGCTATCTGTGAATACTTGTGGTGTGTTCTATCATGACATCATGCATCATGACATTGCATGCATATTGCATCGGACTAACCATTTCAAATACCAATGGGATTCATCTTTGTTCTGTTTTGTAGGTCATGGCACTTATGCATAGAAACACTATTCGGATCAGTTTTGTTCAGATTCCTACTCAGCTTAGAGATTTGGTTGCAAAGGTCCCTGATACTTCCTCTTTTGACAGAAGACATAGGCACCTCCTTGGTTTGGTCACTTCCAGATTAGATGAGTAGATGATGAGTGTTTTGTGCCAGTTCTTTGACCCACTATACCATTACTTTACCTTCCCGGACTATCAGTTGGTCCCT